GTAAAATAAATGTCATAACAATTTTTGTATGGTCGAAAGTATCATGATATTAAAACATAAAACAATTATAAAAAAGGAACAAAATATTTAATGCCAATACGTTGCGCTAAAAATAAAAAAAGGCCAAAACATAAAGTAATTGAAAAATGGAAAAAATATAGATGCCATTATGTTTAACAAAACAATGTTTAAACGTACAGAAAAAGACAGTGTCATATTTCTTACTGGCAGACCAAACTCCATATAAAAATATCATCAAATTTCATAATTTAATTATGTGCTCAATTTTTTAATTCTCTTAATCAAATTTGAAAGCTACACAAATCGATCAAAACTATTTAACTTGAATCAATTATATCAAAATAATGTTGATCATATCATACGTTTTATTCGGAAGTAGAAAGTTCTAATTTTTAAAGCAAATAATGTGCTCATAGGAGTCGAAACTCTATTACTTGATGAAAATAATAATATCTTATTAAATTGTGTATATATGTATTTATTACATAGATTCATGCTAAAAAAATATTTATTTTCTAATAGAAAAATACGATTCAATGCTTTGTGCATCATTATATGCTTCAAAAACTTGGAGATCAACTATGTGAAGTGAACATCATCGAGATTTGCAATTCAAAATTTTTTAACGTTTGACGAGTATAGTTCTATATGAAAAAAAAATCGGTGATATCAATGGTACATATTTATCGATCATGGATTTATATGTGATGTTTGATAACATCATTTATGAAAGATTTTTATAGGTTTTTATGAGATTATTAACATAAAAATTTTCTACTTAACTCTAGAGTATTTGATTTTTTTAATGATTTTATCACATAATTAATATAATGATTAAAATATTGGTTTTCTTTTCTTATTAAGAATATGAATTGAATTCCACTTATATATATATTTTAGAATACGCATCATATGAATAAAAACATGGAATTAAGATATAAATTTATTAATAATGATTTAATATATGTGTTTAAATAGTATTTCAAAGTAGTTTTAGTAATTCCATGAGTTACTAATTAATATAAAAATATTTATGTAAAGAATTTTTAAAGATTTTATCCTCGTATTAACGCGGGTTCTAATCTAGTCTACTATATAAAAGATAATCAGAACGCAAATATATAATCATGGGAAAGGAGGAGGGACATGAATGGTGGTTCCAGCCTCAATCTGAGCCTACCGATCGAACGCTAATGCCTAAGTCACCTTCAACAGCCACGTTTAAGAGAAGTTTGGTTAAACACACACAGAAAGTTGCACAATTTTTATGAAAAAGGCTAGAAACAGTAACAAAGCCAAATCAGACTTGTCAATATAGGTTAATAGAAGGCACTAAAAATAAAATCTGTTCTGCTCAAAAGTTTTCTTATGAATTATGCAACACATTTAGATGGGT